ATTGGCGGAAGTCAGAGTCGCTGCGCCCAAGCAAAACGCGGCTTCTCGGCGAGGAGATTTACTCTCCACGGTGAGCGCCATTCAGATTGCCCGGCTTTTGAAGCGCCCGGAGCTGCTGAATGTGGAGGCGTGCAAATCGTTTGCTTGATTTTGCTTGCCGCGACCGGCTTGAGGGAACTCAAGACATGGACTCTTGATGCTCAGGCCTCGATTTTGCGCGCGCTTGGCGTGTTTGCTTTGCTTTGCTTTGCTTTGCTTTGCTTTCTTTGCTTGCTGGTATTGGTTTGTAACGAACCGTTTTATATCGCAAAGGGGAAGAATCACTTGCTAATGGGCGCGCACTTCACTCACCGGACCTTTCATGCTTGGCCCTCCCTGGGCATTGGGTCCAACTTGCCAAATTGCTCATCTATTGATTGGGTCTATGTGACGCATAGTTTATGCGTAAAATCGGGTTGAACACTCCCAAAGCAGCATAAATGCTCCATCCAGATGAGCCCGCAGCTCGAGATGGTGTAGGTTTGTAGGGCGGTTTGGATGTGTACTGCTCGTGGCTTCTTGGGCGCTTTGGGGAGTTTGAGTGCTTTCCTTTGTCGCGCAAGCATCGCCCACCACAACTTGCTGGTTTCGCCAGGAGACTTGCAGCTTTGCCTCTTGGCAGAACGCCACGCATGGGCACCATGAGCAGCGCGTATGTGCGTGCAGTCTTCGCTTTGGCAACTAGAGCTTGGTAGCATGACTCAGGTCTGTGTCAAGAAGGGGTTCTGATTTGCTCGGGGGTGCGGTAATGACATACCAGGCCAATTACTTTGGTCAAGCCATCCTGTTCTACACTTGTGCCCATTCGGGGTGTCCAAACCAAAACTAGCAGCCTTCGGCCGCTTTTTTTGACCAGGGTTTGCCCTACCAAACAGGGCGCCCCTCAGGTCAACATTTTGAGCAACCCAGCAGAAGGTTCTCAACCCCCCCCCCCTCAAACCAAAAAATAATGCCAAAAACCCCCACCCACCCCCAACCACCCCCAACCACCCACTCACCCACCCCACCTCCACCCACCCACCCCCCCCAAAAAAGGACCGTCTCAAACCACCTGGAGGTCCAGTCGCTGCAGCTGCCGGACGGCAGCTTCGTCCAACGTGTCGGGGCCACGGAGGGAGACGCTCGCTTCACCTTCGCGGCGATCTGCGGCCTGCGGCTCTTGGGCCAACACCCCAGGTGCCAGGAGGGCCGAAGAACCAAAACAGAAAGCCAAAAAAAGACGGGGGCTTTTAAGGGACGCACCAAAAAAAACACACGGGGGATCCTGGAACTCACCAAGCAAGGGAAAAACGGGAAGCAAAAAGCGGGGACTTGTGGGACTCACCAAGGAAAGTGGGCTGATTTGTGTGGGTCCGAACATGTTCCATGTGTGAAACATCACTTTAGCCTATTCGCTGTTTTTCCCACGGCTTGCTCGGGGAAGCAGATTCATCCCATGCACCTGACTCTTTCAGCCGGGTGGGTGACAAAAAGCTAAAGCACAACCTTGCACCGCTTGCTACACCCTAACCGTTATCCACACACCGCCGAGCTGGCAGATGATACATGCATACTCTTTCCATTGGGCCTGGCTTGCCGGATGTTGGGGCAGAAAATGAGATTAGCGTTTCCTGGGCAGTGCAAACAACAAATCAAACTTGAGAGTAACTTGAGACCATGTTCTATGTTTGGGTTCATTTCGCCCAGCTTAAGTACTGAGACTCCCCCTACTTTGTGATCTCGGAGTGTCCAGGTTTTTCGTTCAGGATTATTTGTTGCGGCGAGGGTGTTGGACTGGACATTGTGGAAGCAACCAGCAATTCGGTCACATGAGCTTACTCCCTCGATTTCCGGTCAGAACAAGGAACGCTTTTCAGGGGCCTTCAAAACATGGGTGCGTACCTTTCCCCTCAACATCACCCCTACCGAGGAATTCTTCGATTTTTCCTAGCTTTCGGGAAAGAGTTTCCACATGTGATGCTTCCAAACTTTTGGGAGCGTTTTGCCGCACATGCAACGGGCGGCTGCAAGAAACGCCGCACAAAGGTGGCAGGTCCAAGGTCGTTGCTGTGCTTGCTCCTTGCCAGGAAAACATAAAGCAAACAGCAGCCTTGGCAGCAGAATAGATCGTGATGAATATATGAATGGCGCCGTCCGCTCAAACAAGCCAACGAGCTGTCTCCGCACTTGTCGGATGGGATTCTGAGCAATGCTTCTTGGCTTTTGATCAATGCCCTCTCACATGTTCCAAACAAAGTCTTCTACAGATCGCCCATTTTGTTAAATCTGATGCGGCACCCTTGACGGACTCCCTTGCTACATGATCACCCAACTCTTTCCTATTGGTTTCTCCTGGAGCAGCAAGTTGATGGCCAAGTTGCCAACTAGTCATGGAAGTGGAAAGCATGGTTTGGAAGACTGCCATCTTAGCAATGACTTATGTCCACGCTGGATGTTGCGGATCAGAGCAATCCTTGCCCCCAAATAGGTGGCTTTACCAACGGGTTTCCTCGGGCCCCGGTCAGTGATAGGCGTCTCATTTGAATCCTCTTAATTTCCAAGCCAGCAGAAACCTTTTTGGTAGTGAGGCTCTCAACATGGTAGACCCTCTTTGGGCTGGTTCTGAAAGCGGAACCTAAATGAAACCCAAGCTCTTGGGGGACCGATTCCCATTTCGCGAAGCCAACGCGCTTTTTTCAGGACGAGATCGCCGGGTGGCTGGTGCGGTGCCAAAATTTGGACGGAGGCTTCGGGTGCCGACCAAAGGAATGCGAGTCTCACGCAGGCCACTCCTTCTGCTGCCTCGCCGGCCTGCACCTCGTCCAAAAAGGGGCCTGGGGCCGGTTCCTCGCTCGAGTTCTGGACTTCGTTCTTGGGAAGACCATTTGGGTGGCAAAGAGTTCTGATGGATTTTGCCAATTTCAGGACGTGAGGTTCATGGTTTCTTTGTTGGCTGGTGCGGGCGGCTTTTTTTTTGCCACCTTGGCACCAGCTGATCCTCACTATCGTGCAACGTGACGGTGGTCGGTTTCCTCCGAACCTTCGAAAGATGAAGCAATCAGGGTCAACAATTGGTTTGTTTGTTTGTCTTTCCTTTGGTTTGCGCCGGTCTTTTTGCAGGGGCCACTCTTCTACCCTTGTGCTTGGGAGTCTTCGGGGCAACCCTTGTGCCACCCATGGGCTTGCAACCTCGCCGCAGGTCCCTCGAATGAAAGCAATCTCATGCATCTGTCTATCTAACCTACCTTCACTTTGAGGGGTGGCGTGCCGGCGGCAAGAACATATCTCACATATTTTCGTGATTCCACCAGAAGAAATTAGTACCTTACAAAATGGAGCCTAAACATAGCATCAGGAAGGCAGCTTTCCTCTGAACGTGAGCTTTGTGCAGATTCCATGTTAAAGTTTTTTGAGGTAATTTCTCCAACAAGGGGTTCTTTCCGTGAAATGGAGGTCTTTGCCGGATTCAGGTGGACCCGCAGGAGAGTACTCGAGGCTGGTCTTGCTGCAAAAGAACACCGCTGGAAGTACAGCCGACCAGTGAATAGTTCTCGTTTGATTTTGGTCAGACACCATCCAAAAGGTCCAAACATCTGAGACAGATCCAGCTGCACTATCTTAAGCAGAGCGCGCATGCAGATGCAGCAACACTTGCTTGCATAAGGGTTCGAGATTGTCTTGAGGGCCGGGCAAAAAAACCACCTGATATCCCCCGGGGTGCCTAGGAGTGGGCGTTTTCGCTGCGTCAGGCAGTTGCTTTCGAGACTCGGTGATACGAGCCCTCGCGGCCGAGCTCGGCTGCTGCGGTGGCTGGGCTCCAGACAGTGCGAAGGACGCTCGAATCTCCGTCCTTCAGGGGTTCTTTCGGGGGTCCTTCAAGAGGCAGGATTCTGGATGTATCTGACTACGAACTGC